TCACCTTCAGATTCTTGGAACTCGGGATAATTGGAAGTAAATACTCTGATTTTGTATTTCATCATTTAAAATCAGCATTATCCTCTGGTTTTATTGCTTCACTGTGGAAAAGCCTTTTAGGTTTGTAAGCCATAAAGGATAAAATATTAATTTAGTTTGATTTTTTTTGAATCACATTCAGCATTTGCTTTTATATTATGAGAGCACCCCAAGGCTTTTTGTTAGTTGCATTTTTGTAGGATTCTGAAGTGAAAGACGTTGTTTTTGTGGAATCTGCCTTTTTCTTGGGATTGTAATTCCAGCAGACTTTAAAAGGGTGTGTGGTTCCCCAAGAATAAAGGTCTCAGGTTTTTCTCAGGCTTCTCTCTGTCTCCCTAACTTTTCTCACTGATAGCAGAGGAAAACCTTGTAAGTTACTACTGTGGAATTGGATTGGTTGGGCCTAATGTGAGTTAAATATATATCAAGTTGTTGTACCTGGTTCTTACATCTGTATCTCAATTAATTGATTTAGAGGCATCTAAAAATATTTCTTAATGGTTTATATTAGAACACCCTTAGACCCCTTATTGATCATGGGAAGGGAATGTCATTATATTAATCAACAGAGATAGAGAATTTGTTATACTATAAAAGAGGCTCTTTTATACAGGACATTATAAGGACAAAGCAGACTAGTTTTATCTCTTGAAAACACTCCCATAAAATGCTTCATTCAGTGTATACTGGAAAAAGCACCATATTTGGAATTAAAAGACCTGGATTCAAGTCCTAGCTCTAACACTTGCTAGCTGCATTACTGGAGGCAAATCATTAAGTCAATCAATGAGCATTTATTAAATATTTGCTAGCAAGTATTATTATTTCCATTTTAGAGAGTCCGAGGTGATAAGTGATTTTCCAGGGTCTTACTGCTAATAAGTGGGAAGGCCAGGCTTAGCATATTTACATCCTTTCATTCTAAGTTCACTGCCCTTTGTAACATATTCTCTGAGTTTCATTTTCCTCATATATACAGTGACGATAAATACTCCATAAGGTTGTATTCCAGGGTCTTATTATATCATGAAGGTAACACTAAGTTTTTGAAGGTTGTACCAATGGAGTTCAACCTCTGTTAGGTCCCAACATGATGGAAAGGTTTTGAGTAATGCCCTACTAATGGAATCCTCCTTTCTGAGGACCAGTACAGCGAGGCTTATCTCCAGTAGACCAAGAGGGCATTTGGTAATGACTTCTTTGGCTGTGGCAACCCATAAAACAAAGAAAAAGATACAATTATCCCTAGGCTTGGGAGGTTCCCTTTTGCTTGAACAATGGTACTGGTAGTATTGGAAAAGAGAGTAAAGGGTATAAAGAATCATTTTTTTTTTGCCATTTGTAACATTACCTTAATTGTTGGCATGCTAAATGTGAGATCCTTGTCCAGTGACCAATGAATACACATATTACTGGAGGAATTGAATTGTATCAGATATTAACATTCTTGTTCTAAACAAAACCAGAAGAAAGAAGTGATATTTTGGTGAAGGGTGGCTCACAGATTCTTCTTGGAGAGACAAATAAAGAAGTTGATAATTGGTTCTATTTGTATCCCCAAACAAAAAGAAACATAATTTCCTGGGACATTTGGTCATCTCATTTTTGAGTACTCATGATAATTATTTGCAAAAAGACCATTGCAAAAATAATTGCATCTAATATACCAACAGTTGTTTCAAAGCATGAAGAGATAGAGAAATTCTGTGAAGAACTGAGTTAAGAGTCTCTAAAAGCACAGATGCTTTGGTACTAGGTGACTTCAGTGTGAAGTTGGGATTAAGTAAGGATGGGGAGAAGTTTGTTGGAAAATATAGAGCAACAATAAGGAATAAAAGATGCTCAAGACGTTTAGACTGCACCGAGACCTCTTATTTATGTAGCATGAGCACTTTGTTTTAAAAATGTTTTATTGAAACCATTTGTCTTTATATCACAGCCCTTTCAACCACCAACCAGAGTGAACCCTCTCGTATGACAGAAAATAATTAAGCAGAAAAATCCTTTGCATTTACTGCATGTTGGTCTAGCATTCCTCTAGCTCTCCATTATGAGGGATGAGAAGTATGTTTCATAGTCTCTGCTTTAGGATCTTTACTGCATTTTCCATTTCATTACAGAGTTTGATTTCTTTAAACAATCTTTTCCTTTACAGTGTTGGCATCATTATATGTGATTCTCTTAGTTCTGCTTATTTTGCTCAGCAACAATGTATTTAGATCTTGCCAGATTTCCCTGAATTTTTCATATTCATAATTTATCACTACACAGTAATATCTGGTTACCTTCATATACCACAATTTAAAAGTTATTTACTAATCAAGGGGCACTCACTTTGTTTCCCATTCTTTGCTACTATTGAGTGCTGCTATGAATATTTTGGTGTATATTGGGCCTCTGTGTTTGGCTTTTAACTTTTCTGTTTTAAATTCAATTCAATTTTATTTTCAGTTGAGAATTCTCTCATTTTGCCTTCTTTCCTTCTTTTGAGAAAACAAGAAAAATGAACCTCAGTAAAATGTGTCTGTATATATATACATATACATATATATATACACATACATATATATGTATGTATAGTTATGCAAAACAAATTCTCACATTAGCAATGTGTCCCCTTCTGTCCTACCCCAAAAAATGGAAGAAAAGAAAATGTTTCAATCTGTACTCTGAATCCATCAGTTTTCTATGTAGAGATAGATAGCACATTTTATTATTATGAGTCCTTTAACATTGTGGTTGGGCATTGTGTTGGTCAGAGTTACTAAGTTTTTCAAAGCTGATTATCTTTATAATATTGTTGTTATTATATAAATTGTTCTTCAGGTTCTGCTTTTATCACTTTATAACAATTCACACAAATGTTTCCAGATTTCTTTTTCTTTTTGAAATTATCACCTTCATCATTTATCGTTGAATTCTTTGGAATATATGCCCAGTGGTAGGCTTGGTGACTCAAAGGGTAGGAAAAATTTAGTCACTTTTCTTGACTGATTCCAAAGGGAAATACAAAATGGCTGGAACACTTCATTGCTATGCCAACATTGACTGCTCCTACTGGGTTAACTCCATTGTATCCCAATTTTATTCTAGGTGCACATTATCATTCTAATCTTTCTTTCCCCCAGTAGACATTTCTTTGAAGGGAGAGGAATGAATAGGGCTGGGACTGAATAGCATAAAGACTCCAAATGATATTTCTTATACATCTGTGATCTCTTCTGTGGAACATGTTTGTTTTCAAATAAGGGCAGGGGAATTTTAGATTTAGAATATACAGGAGGAGGTAATGAATGTCAAGAAGGACAACCTGATCAACCAGAACTAATGAGAACATTACTCTTAGTTTAAAAAAAAATCACCCTATTATGAAATGAAAGTACTGCAGGCTTTGTGTGGGATGCTATTGACACCACATCTCACAACTTGCGAAAGATTTTCATCTCTAAGCACTTATAGGCACTATGTCTTATGGTACCATTCCTACAAAAGAGTGAATATCCTCCCTTTTTCAGAGATTCTCCCAGACCTCAAGAGGGTTCCCCAGTACAGAAAAAGAAGTTAGCTCAGCCAAAGTGATGGGGACAGAAATGGGAAGAGAGCCTACACTTCCTCACTAGCAGTCTCATGCTCTTTAATGACAACTCTAGAGTACATCTCTCCTTTAAAAAGAAAAAGGAGTTTTAGAACGTAATATTCCCTGCATGTTCAGCAGTTGGAGGTAATGCCTAAGAGTCCTAGAAGGGAGTTCAGGAAACCTGGAGAAAGGGACTGGATCTTATTTAAATTTTTGTAATACTTTGCATACAATATGCATTTGATAAATGCTTATTGAATGAATGAATCCAGGGCTGGAATAAAGCCTTTAATCCTGTAGTTTGAGGTAAAAGGCAAAGCCCTCAGAGAGTTAGTTAGCACATTGGTGTATTTTATTTCAGTTGAAGGAGAAATAAATGATGTTTTCAGATCCTACTTTGGGGTGTAGGAATTAAATCTTGGGAGGCACTGGGAGAGGATGCCCCTGACAGAGAACCTCTCCAGCTGCATGGTTTTGGTCAATCAAATAATGTTGTTTGCACATATGCTAATGACTGTAATGAAGACTGAATACAAATGAATTATTAACTTTATAACAGAAATGTAAACAGGATCTTAATGAATTTTCTAATGTACTTTACCTCTGATCTTGTCCATTATTTACTGAAAGCTGATCTGTAGCTAAAGAAAACCTGGGACTACTTTGTTCTTATGATTTCTGCTCCTTCATCAATATAAAGGTTATATATTTAGTAGTCCTGCCAGTGTTCTTCTATGAGAAGGTTGTTTTTGTTTTTTTGGTTATTTGATGCTATTCCTGGACTCTTGACATTTCAATCAAAAGATTTTGTTACAGGTTTATCTTCAGGTTCAGCCTTAAAGTCCAGTATACTTTCAAGGAGAGGCAAAAGACCCCCCCCCCCCCACCATGGCCTATTCCAAATGCCTCCCTCTGGGTTCAGTGATGAATGATATTAATTTAACAGGGTTCTCTCTCTCTCTTTTATTTTTTTGGATGAGGCAATTCGGGTTAAGTGACTTGCCCAGAGTCACACAGCTAGTGTTATGTGTCTGAGGCTGGATTTGAACTCAGGTCCTCTTGACTCCAGGGCAGGTGCTCTAGCCACTGCACCATTTAGCTGCTCAGGACTCTGTTATTAAAGCATGCAGATTCAGGTTTCTGAGGACAGGAAAATGTCCTAAATTTTTTTTTCCAGTATCTATTACGGTGCACATTGTAGACACTTCGTGTGGATTAAATGAATCCAGGATTCTTTTATATACCAATGAGTTTGTTGATTATGAATATTCTGTTGATTATTTGCCATGTCCCAAAAAATTCATAAAAATAGAATTAATTGAAAAGGCTAATGTAAGTATTCGTTCATTTTGACTTAATCTTCTGCTTCCTTTCTTTTCCCTAGGTGTGATTATTGTGCCCAGTGCTGGTGTTGGTATCGTCTTAGGAGGTTACATTATAAAAAAGTTGAAACTTGGTGCCAGAGAATCTGCAAAACTAGCAATGATCTGCAGTGGTGTGTCTTTACTGTGTTTTTCAACACTCTTCATTGTTGGATGTGAAAGTATTAACCTGGGTGGCATAAATATTCCGTACACAACAGGGTAAGTATCTCTGAATGACTGAACAATAAATATTATTACAATCATGGCAAACCCTTTAAACACTTATGTATTCAACTGTGTTGTAGACTCCTAGAATGCTGTGTTCCTTTCTAATTGTTCTCAGGTGAACGTTTTATCTCTCTGCTTAGACTGCAGTTTCTGTCAAGAGCAGAGACCATGCTTTTTAACTTCTTTCATATCTTTGTCCCTGCAAACTGCTTTCTACAGTATGTTTCACCCAGAGGATTTTTCTGATGGTGAATGAATAAAATTAATAATAATCCTCATTTGTGTACCACTTTACAGCTCACAAGGCATTTTCCTCAACAACAATCCCTTGAGACAGGTAGTAAAAATATGACTGTCTTCTTCAAATCCAATTCACACATGAGTCAAGACATTGATATCATCAATCCTCTTCGAAAAATAGAACTAAGGACAAACAACAGCAATCCTCCTCAAATGAGAAAACTGAGAATCAGATTGACCAATGTCATTGACATAGTAATGTGAGAGGCAAGACTTGAATCCCAGCTTTCTAGACCTAAGTTTAAGGTTTTCTGTGTGAATAAAATGTTTCTTTTCAGAACTTATAAAAATGCAAACATTTCATCACTCAAGCACATCAGAGGTGTTTCAGTATGCATTCATTACACAGGATTTCAGTATTTATTTTTAAACATAAGGTTTCAATTTATGAAGAAAATGCTTAGTTATTTTTTGATTTTCTACTTCATAGTAAAGATCATATTGCAATAAATTCCATTTGAAAATGGAGTTGTGAAAGCCTCTGTTTCATTGAGGTAATTTAGAATGATGAGGAAATGACATTGATTAAATCATACGAGTATGTTAGTTAGTAAATATTATTTTGCTCTGAATATTATTTTTCACATGGGGAAATTTATTTTTCTTACTGACTTGCAAACAGATCATGTATGAGTTGTTCTTTGCTAGGCTCTAGTATTGAACATGGAAAAAGATAATTAAACATGCTTTTTCTGATGAAGGATATCATTAAATGTGACATAAAAGGATTATTGTCATAACTTTTCCTTGAATAAAGCACATAGCCAAGATAACTTGTATAATGGATAGAATTTGAACTTGATGTTGGGAAGACTTGGGTTAAAATCCTGCCACTAGTACTCACTAGTCATGTAACGAAGGAAAGTCAGTCAATAAATAATTATTGAGAACTACTGTGTTCCAGACACTGTATTAAGCACTGGGGATACAAAAAAGAAGCAAAAGACCATCCCTTCCCTCAAGGAGCTCACAATCTAATGGGAGATAATTCTATTAATTTCTCTGGGCCTCCATTTTCTTACCTATAAAAGGAGGAGGTTATATTAAATGACCTCCAAGGTTCTCTCCAGCTTTTAAGTTGTGATCCTATTGTGTTTTAGGTTTGGGCTTATTTAGGCAGGATGTGCAATAGAATGCTTTCTAGTGAGATGATCTGGAAAGTAAATAATATATGCTTTCTAGAGCTGGAGTATTGGTTATTTTGGATATACTTCTATTTTGGATAAAACTCAAGCATATTGTACTTTGGAGAGACTGTCTAAAACTTGTCAGATATGAGATAAAAACCATTTACTTGATGTGGATTTCCCAGAGAAGTGATTTTCTAAAGCTCGGGAACAGGACAAGTCAAGCTGCTTTCACTTGAACAGTTTACCCATTTGAATGTGTTGGCAAAACAACTGAGGGAAACAAAGCCCTAAATGATGAGCCACTGATGAGATGTCTGATTTCTGACTTTAAATACAGCTTTGATTTTCCTCTAGATGTAAATTGAGTTTCATGTATGTATTTCCAAGTCATTTAGGTTATAAAAAAAAAAAAAGAGAGAGAGAGAAACAAAATTAAAAAGTCCTATCAGGATTACAAGTAAAAGACATAGTTTCCTCCTGTGCTGCTCTATGTGGTAAGATCATTCAAGGTGATTGGCAGTCAGGTAAACTGTTGCTTATGGAACACAGTATAGACATCTGTGGCTAACATTCGTGGGATACCCATAAATATGTATGATATTTTGGGTTAAACTGACTCAGAATCTTAAGAAACCTCGTATGAAAGGTCAGATTTACTTCTGAAAAAATTATTCTTTTTAAACATTCTTTTCATTTAAAATTTTGAGTTTTAAATTTTCTCCCTCCTCCACCCCCTTCCCCACTTGCTGAGTTCAATGATACTTTAAATTATATGTGTGAAATCATGTAAAGCATATTTACATATTAGCCATATTAAAAAAAAAGAAAAATAAAGAAATAAAACAAGTTGTACTTTAATGTGCACTCAGAGTTCATCAGTTCTCTGTCTGAGGGTGGATGGCATTTTTTCCTCTTGAGTCCTTTGGGGTTGTCTTGGATGATTGTATTGATCAGAGCATTGATCACGAGTCTTTCACTGTTGATCATCATTATAACATTGCTGTTACTGTTTGCATAATGATCTCTTGATTCTTCTCAGTTCACTTTACATCAGTTCATGTACTTCTTGCCCTGTTTTTCTGAAACCATCCCCCCATCAGTCATTTCTTATAGCACAATAGTACTACATAAAATCATATGCCACAACTCGTTCAGTCATGTGCCAATTGATGAACGTCCCGTTGATTTCCTGTTCTTTGCCACTGCAAAAATGCTGCTTATAAAGATTTTTGTACACATCCTTTTTCTTTGGTTTCTTTGGGATACAGACCTAGTAGTAGTGGTATTGCTGAGTCCAAGGGTATGCACAGGCATTTTTTTTTGTTTATTTGTTTTTGTTTTGAGTAGCAGAGACTTTATTTACAGAAGCATATACAGTTTAGCTCAGGTGAGTTATTTTTTTAGAATGAATCTTCATTTCTAGGTTGACAGAAATTGTGCTAAGCCACACGTTCCACTAGACCTGTTTGAGCATAGTTCCAAATTGTTCTCCAGAATGGTTGCGCCAGTTCACTACTCTGCCTACACTTCAGTAGTGTACCTATTTTCCCACATCCCCTCCAGCTTTGTCATTTCTAATAGGTGTGAAGTAGTACCTCAGAAGTGTTTAAATGTAGCGTCAGCTAGGTGGCTCAGTGGATAGAGCACTGGCCCTGAAGTCAGGAGGACCTGAGTTCAAATCCGGCCTCAGACCAACACTTGACACTTACTAGCTGTGTGACCCTGGGCAAGTCACTTAACCCCAATTGCCTAAAAACTTAGAAAAAAAAAGAATTGTTTAAATGTGCATTTCTCTAATCAATAATGATTTAGAGCATTTTTTTATATGACTATAGATAGCTTTGATTTGTTCTTCTGAAAACTACCTGTTCATACCCTTTAACCATTTATCAGCTGGGGAATGGCTCTTATTTTATAAATTTGACCCAGGTTTATATTCAGCATATGTGTGAGAAATGAGGCCTTTATCAGAGAAACTTGCTGTAAAATTTTTTTATTACTTTATTGTCTATGGTACCTTTCAACAAATATAGTTTCCCTGATTATTTCTTTTAATTGGGTCTATTTTTGCTCTTGTTTTACCTGAGATTCTGATAGCTACCCTTGCCTTTTTTTTAACTTCGGCTGAAACATATTAGATTCTGCTCCAGGCCTTTATATTAACTCTATGTATGTCTTTCTGTTTCACTTGTGTCTCTTGTAAAGAACATATTGTTGGATTCTACTATCCACTGCTGTTTTATGGGTGAGCTCATTCTGTTCACATTCACTGTTATGATTACTAACTGTGTATTTTTCTCCATCTCATTTTCCTCTGTTTATCCTTCTATCTCTCTTTTTATACTATCCCCCCTCAAAAGTCTATTTTGATGCAACCTTTGCCTCCCCTAATTTGCTCTCGCTTTTATCATATCCCTCTTTTTCTTATCTCTTTCCCCTCCTATTTTCCTATTCAGTAAGATAGATTTCTATATACTTTTGTGTGTGTGTGTGTCTGTGTGTGTACACACACACACACAGACACACACAGACACACACACACAGACACACACAGACACACACACACACACATATATTCTTCCCTCTTTGGACCAATTCTGATGAGAGTGGGATTCTAGCAGAACAGTATACAGACTGTTCCCAGCCTGACCCAGTGCTCACGTGGGGCAACAGTCAGAAGGAATGTTGGAGGGGTAGCTAGGTGGTGCAGTGCATAGAGCACTGGCCCTGAATTCAGGAGGACTTGAGTTCAAATCTGGCCTCAGACACATAACACTTACTAGCTGTGTGACCCTGGGCAAGTCACTTAACCCCATTGCCCCCCAAAAAATAAAACAAAAAAACCACAAACAAAAGGAATGACAGAAAGGTGATTGTAGAAGGAGGCTTGACCTTTGGCAGAAAAGACAAACTTCAGGGACGGCTATTGGGCCCTTACAGGTATCCCAGAGATGTTGTGAGACTAGGGCTGTGGTGGTACATAACTTTTTAAGGACTAAGGAACATTCCAACTAAGGGTTTACTGTTTCCACAAATTCTGTTCAAATGTGCCTGTTAAATAACAGATACTGTAATGTAATATACTCTATTCATTTCTCTTACCTAACAACTTCCTGTATCCTGATTTTTACCTCGAGCAAAAGGAGGCCAAGGGTTAGTTGTTGTTGTTTAGTTGTTTTTCAGTCATGTCCTCTTCGTGACTCCTTTTGGGGATTTTCTTGGCAGAGATACTGGAGTGATTTGCCATTTCCTTCTCCAGCTCATTTTACAGATGAGGAAACTGAAGCAAACAGGGTTAAATGACTTGTCCAGGGTCACACAATTAATGCATGTCTGAGGTCAGATTTGAACTCGGGAAGATAAGTCTTGTTGACTGCAGGCCTGGCACTCTATCCATTGCACCACCCAGCTGCTCTAGGAGTTAGTTAGAGGTGGCCATAATTTAAAATTAGAGCAGAGTCAAATTTCTGCCTGAATGTTAGGAATTTTCCTAACTTGGAGCTCTGAGCTATCATCATACTACTAACATTTGGTTTGATATAAACTTCCTCTAAAACCTCA